GTGGCCCCCGTCGGTTACCGTCGGAGCCGAGGTGCCCTTGCGGAGGAGGGAGCGGGCGAGGGGCGCGCCGGAGGACACCCCCGGGCCCCGGCAGCGAGCCCGTCGGTCTCTGAGGGAGCCGCCAGCCGTCGGAGCCAGCGCCTCGAACATGGTTCCGTTACTGGGAGGGATGACGGACGGGAGCGACACGAGTGTGAAATAACGCCGATACAGACTGTTTTAATGTCATGTATAATGCTTGCAAAGCGATGAAACAGATTCCGTTGAATTCTGAACAGAATCAGATGTGACCCAGTGATATTGCCGCGATTCCTCTCTTGATGAACATGGATAAGCTAGAAGCAATTTAGCGGTCAAGTACAAGAAGTCTTGAAATATTGAAAACCTGTTCTGGGCGTTAGTATTTGCAGGGTGCGTGACAAGAGTAACGCGACAGTTCCCCTGCCGCCCAGATGAATAGCATCTCACCGCTATATTTGTAACAGCAGAATGGTAAGCGTATCACATAAGATAACACGGCACAAGGGAGTGTCGCGCTCAGCACAGGAGATCCAGAAGCCCACTGGTATGCTCTGCTTTCCTGTCTGCTGCAAACTTAGCGTGTGTCTTTGGGAACTCGTCAAGGACCATCTTCGAGAGGGGGTAAAAATGGGCACAGGCATGCTACGATCTCGGCAGCATTTAGGTGCCGGACGTTGTTTATGTGTTTTATGTAGCACAGCCATCGGGCGAAATACACAAGCAGTGTTTGGAGCCGTAGTGGGAACTGCTGTCCTTGCCCATATTTACCTTAGCAAATAATGCAGCACTTGAGGAATCGTATAGGTGAAACTTAGAATGAAGCACACGGTGCTGGGGACCCAGTACACACACAACACATTTTAGGACTTTTCCTTTGAACTGCTGCTCACCTCATATGCAGCCTCCCAGTGTCTTAACTCAGTGCTTTCTGTGCCACAGCACCAGCCATTAGGCTGGAGAGGCAGCTGGCTGCTGCTGCGGCGGCTGCTCTGACCCAGTCACTGTGGAGCGTTTTGCTCCCGAGTGGAAAACTTCAGGCAGAGAAAAACCCCTCATGTAGGACTGCTCCTGGTTCAGGAGCTGGGATGCTCAGTAGGGCCGCAGGGTCATACCTTCTGGGGCTGAGGAGGGAGCCAGACAGGGAGCTGCTGTGTCCTGGGCAATTTCTCTTACAGCAGCATCACAGATGAAAAGGAAGGTGCTGGCGTGGCTGTAAGTCTCTGTCTTCTGCAGAAAGGCTCTTTAAGCAAAAGGTTCACACGATCTTTCTGGCAGGTAGATCTTAAGTGGGTAGCTCACTGTAGGCATTTGCTTGATAACTGGACTTGTTGTTTTAGGTCCTCCAGAAGCACTTTTCTCTCCCCTGCACCCTGCGGGGGGGCTCTTTCCTGTCTGAGCATTTAGTTATGATGTTGCGGTGCCTATATGCTTTTTTGGGTCATCCATCAGCCTCAGATTACAGAAGCATTTGCCAAAAGTGGAGGTAGAACGTACTGCAGAGTCATTTTAAATACTGATTAGTGCCTTTAAAAAGTACAATACTCTGATTTGAGAGGAATTGCAGGTAAAAAAAGTTTTTACTGTCATAATTTCTGGCATCATAACACCATTAAGCTCTAGTCAGAAAATTAAAATATGGTAAATTCCCTTAAAATTTAGAACTCCGCGCAAAGACAAACATCTTAAGTGGAAGCTCAGAGGGAAAGAGGGATAGAATATTGATCTATAGGGTGTTGTTATTTATTGGATGGTGTTTGAAAGCCTGGATTGACTTGATAGCTTTGTTAAAAGGACCTGACATTGCATTTTTGTTATTTAGTTCAGTGCAGCTTTCTAAAAACTGCCACGTTAAAGATTTCTCATAGTCTGTGTCCTCAAGTAGTCATTGAGACAGTGTTTTTCATGAAAACAGTTTGTCATTTTGGTGCTTTCGGTTATGAGGTAATGTGAAGAGGTCAAAGTATGAATACTAACCATCAGATTCTGTTGTTAAATCAGCATTCGAGCAGTTTGAAAATTAATGTGCAACTTCGTATTGGACTCCCAGTGTCAGAAATGTGTGGAATAATGACACTTGCCAGCAGGCAGTTCAGCAATACCATTTTGACTACAAAAGATGACACTAATACAATTTAAGCACGGTACAAAATGCTGCAGGTTGAGAAAACTTATTTATGTGTGCTATCAAAACCAAATTTTAGAATTTGGTCAGGACAGTATATTTCTTTGTTTGGGAAAGTTAGGATTGTTGGGTTTATTTTATAAGACCTTTTGAACGAAGATACTGATTTTTCTTCCAGGTTTAAGCTGCTACAATTCACTGCCTGTGATGCTGCAGCTCTCCTTGCAGATGCCAGCGTGCATGCCTACATGTCTGCTTGGAGTTAGGGATGAGGCTGGGAAGAGCAGGTACCTCCCATTTCCTCAGGCCAGTGGCCCCGGTAGCCACCCATAGACCTCCGGGAATCAGCAGGACCTTGCCTGGGCAGAGCTGTCCCACCACGTGGGCCGGTTTTTGCCAAGACCCAAGTCTGTAGTGATTTTCTTCAAATTCCGTAAATGGAGACTGAGATTTGAAGATGGTACTTGAGTCTCAGTTATCAGTTATTTGAAAATATATTTCTGCAGTTTTAGATATCAAAGGCAGAATAAGGAGCAGCATTAGGTGTGCTTGTAGCTAAAAGAATTATGGGTTAGTTGTACAGTGCAATATACGTTGGAGCAACTTGCTAGGGAGGCCACATTTTCAAAACAGTAGCGTTGTGGTGAGGTACCAAAATAAGAGCTAAAAAATTACAAAAATTCAGCCATCCTTGTCTGCAAGGAAGTATGGTTTGGTAGCTACAGCACAAAGAAGTGTGTCCACCTGGGCCGTAGTCTTGGGAGTGTTTTTTTAGAACTACATTCAGTAAGGCAATTTTTTTGTCAGTGCAGAGGTCCTTGCCTCTTTCTTAGCTGTTTTCTTATTCCCATGCTTGCTAAGCAAATACTCCTGCTGCCCCTTTCACCGTCTTCCCCCATCAAATTGTGCTAATCTGGGACTTGGGGATGCTTATTAGTTTGGGTTTGTTTGTTTTGTTTTTAACCGGTATCTGGTTTAGAACGTGACACCAACGACAATTTCATCAGCAGTAATGGTGGGGTGATAAAGATGGAATATAAGGAAGGGTGTCTTATCTTGGGTGCCTGTGTTGATGAGAGACATTCTAACATCAGACCAGACCTTTAATCTCTCAGTTGACCATTTCATGAAGTCAGGGTAGTACTTGCCTAATGTATTATAAACACAGAATAAACTAAGATGTGAGATGCAGATGTGAGCACTGCACAGTTCATTGTAGAGATGACAAGAGACCAGTGGTCTGATTGATTGCCTTATGGTCTCACCGCTGTACTGCATTGGTTCCCTCCTAGAATGTTAAAAAAGACATGTTCAACTATGGAATTAAATTAGTGTAAACCCTTCTTGGGAAACGGTGGTGTCTTCAAAGCAATGCATGCTCATCTCTTCATTATTCCTAATGTGCTAGAATGATAAACAAGCAGTACAAACATCTCTCTCTGTCATAGCTCTTAAATCTATATGATGATGTTTAGTTTTCTAAGCCTTCGTAATGTGTGAAATTTGCATTTTTGCAGTACACCACAATTCGCTTACCTAAAGAATGCTTTTTAATAGACAAAGCAAACCAAAAGCAGAGAGGCCCATCACAAACAAACCTACAAAACACAGCGGTCTGTTTTTTCTTTTTAAGGCAAAACACTTCAGAGATAATTAAGCACAAAGTTTAACACAGCAAAGTCCTTTCCCGATCACAAGATTCTTTATGGTTCATCACATGACTCTTCCTAAGGGACTGGCCCTTTATTCTGCGTTTGCAAAGAAACTTTCAGAAAAAGAAATGAATGAAGATGAAGCACAGTTAACATGGAAACTCCAAGGTCCAATTTTAGTGCTAGATGTGTCGTGTATCCATGTATTTACATACATAGTTTTGTGTGCATTCGTTACATACCTATTTTTCCCCCCCACAGATATTGAAAAATGCCTAAAAAGAAGACTGGTGCTCGTAAGAAAGCTGAGAACCGTCGTGAACGTGAAAAGCAGATCAGGGCTTCCAGAGCCAACATAGATTTAGCCAAACATCCTTGTAATGCGTCAATGGTAAAAATAACCTACAGTATTTTATATTACAATACTTGATTTTAAAATATGTAAAACCAGTGATAATACATTGACTGTATTTAATGCCACTAGAATTCTTCCTGCCATCCTTCCTTTATATTTAAGGTTCCATTTGCATCAGAGGTATAATACTTGAATAAAAAGTTTGGTTCCTAATCAGAACTTAATTTAGAGTCCTTCTGGGGTCTGTAACTTTTATATATTTTACCTAGAATAAAAATAATTACCAGTATTTTATTTCTTTTCTTTAGGAATGTGATAAGTGCCAAAGGTAAGTATTTTTCCCCTTCTAAAACCAGTAGTTTAGTATTCAAACATTTTACAGGTCTTTTTTTAATGCTTGCTTTCTTTTTTTCTCCCCCCTCCATGTGCCTAGACGACAGAAGAATAGAGCTTTTTGCTACTTCTGTAACTCTGTTCAAAAATTACCCATTTGTGCACAATGTGGTAAGTAGAAATAACGAAGGAAAACATGCTAATCTCAGTCCCATTTGTGGTGTTAAACTCTCAGCAGTTAAAGTGCCTTTGTCTGAAAGTACCTTTGTGATTTTTTGAAGCAGGTTCTTTTAAATCTGCTGTGAATATCCTCCTTGAGAAGATATCTTACTTGATCATGCACTAATGCATATGCCTCTGACCCCCAGAGGTTTGCCAGTGTGGATTATGTGCTTGTCTTCAGTATTTGATCTTTGGAAGAATTGGTCTCACTGCCTTTCAGGATTGAGAAGATCTGACCGTTTGCTTAGACTGACCATGTGGAGTATTGTTTCATAATAACAGCAAGGTTAAAAAAGCTCTGACTGCCAGCAAGGCACCCATAAATACTGCTTTTTAGGGATGATATAATTTCTGATCAGTTTAATATTAATCAAAGCAACAGTACATTATTCACCTTGCATGGTTTTGTAGTGTAATATGCTGCTCATGTTATTTATATGTGCTG